ATGTTGTGTTTATCCCTTGGAATATTAAACTTTGGACAGACTTCCATCATATGTTGAACTGATAAGTTTGTGTCACAGAGGTTGCATTTCTTTGGAGGATCTCTTGTCATCAGATGGCCATGGGTCAATCTTGTGTGTCCAATTCTTAAACGGGTTAATATTGTTTGGTTGCGCCTGTTAAGTTCCATTGCAGAGGAGGTTTCGTACACGTCACTTCGAACAGAGAGAATTTTTGAGGAGGCATGAGCTTTCCAATAGGAGTTCCATTCACCAATCACTTTTTTCATAAGATGTTTTTTGAAGTCATTGTGAAATTAAGATTTTGTTACGTTCGAATAAGGCGAAATAACGGAGAGGAAGGCGAAACTCTGTCTGCCAACGAAGATCAGAAATAAAATTTGATGAAGGAAATAAAAAAGTGACGTAATATATAATTTAATATTTTCTTGAAAATGAAAAGGTTTGGTCATATTCGCGGTTAAAATAAATAATACGATGGAAACGAGAACCAATCTCTCGGTAAAGAATGCAGGGAGAGAAGCGAAACAATCGAAGGGAAATTGCATGCAGCGTTCACAGAAAATTCGGTAAAAATTTCGTACGATGAAACGTCCGCTGCATCCAATTTCTCAACGACATCGACACCGTAAATTCGATCGTACAATTTTATTAATTCGCAGTAATCGATTATTCAACGTTCGTACATTCCTTGTCCATACAGTTTCGTTTGGTAATTTGTAATCGTGCTTCTCGTTCGGCTATCGCATTAACAATTTCAAATACTGCCGCAACAGCGCGTAATAAATGTACGTATTATTTGTACTTACCGTATTCGTTCTTATACGCTTAGGCGGAACGACCAGCTTTAAAATCTTGAATTACAACAGAATTATACGAAAAACGAAACAGGGTCTACGTAGGCACGTTTTATTATCAATTATTAACCCCTCCGCGCTTCTATTAAACGATCCGACCGTTCAACGATACTTACAATTTACAACTTACAACACCGATGGAATTCAGGACAGAATGGAGATGGATTCGCATGGCGATACTTGATTTATACAACAGCAGGTAATTATATATATATCTCTCACTCTCGCTAACTTACAAACGATATACAAAATATATGCGCAATATATTATATCGAAGCGATAAATAAACTGAGAATCGTCGACTAGTATCTAAAGACCAGAACGTGGAAATTAACGATAGAACATCTAGTCTCTCTCGTTGATCGTCGCGACGGATCTTTGCAAGAGTACTATTTACAATAAAATATGACATCGTTACGTTCTTTCTTCGAATCCGAGAACATCTTTGGCAAACCTTTGTGATTTCTCGAAATCCCCCGGTTCCGACAAAAGATACAAATGTAATAACTTTTTGCTCTAAATGTTTCGCTAACTTCCAAATTCAAAAACAACTTTTGAGTCTCAAGTCTGATCATTGTTTCTCCCATTCTTCTGCTTTCCTCGTTAACAGACTAATTTTCGGATGCCCGTTTAAACTGATTCTTATTGTCAACTAAGGGAAGAAGACAGGAAATACAGTTCCGACGATTAAGAAGAAATTGATTTACAGAGTGATCGTTAAATACGCGTAAGTGTTTTCAATGAAAACGAAAAGGAGTTTTCATCGAAAAGGAACGTAGTTGCGGTGATACGATGTTAACCCTTTGCACTCGAGGCCTTCTTTTCTGGGGTCTACTAGCAACTCGAGATGTATCTTAGCATTCTATTGCCATGAATTCTAAGCTATCTAGATTTGAGAATGAGGTCACCTTTATTTATACGGTTATTTATCATACGGTTTACCTCACCGACAATCATTTTATCGACATTTCGAGCTCCAAAGAGATTAAACCTAAAGAAACATTAGGTATTGTAGATTTGCTGCGTGAAACCTAATGGTGATTGACAGTCACCTCTCGAGTGCAAAGGGTTAAAGTAATCTCTAAAGCTCTATCTCCAAATCGTCGTAACGAAGCTTGTCTATACCAGTAAATAGGATTGCCAACACCATCCTCTTTTGGAACAAGTAACTTCTTTCTCAGCTCTGTCCGTGTTATTATCAACAAGTGTGATTTCTTTCGAATAAATTAACGGTATCGAACCATTTACGACTAATTTACGGTGAATTAATACAATAGGTTGTCTGGAAAGTCCATGCCGATTTTTGTTAGGTAGTGCAGGTCTGGATATATCGGAATAATTGAAAACAAATAACATGAATACATCCCTTAGAAGGTGGAAAGGTTGTGGAACAAAATGCTATCTACATAAGTCACTAAATATGTATCAAAATTCAAATGCGCCTTTAAATTTTTTTTTTAAAATTAGCACGAACTTTCTGGACAACCTACAAGTATCAAAGAAAATTTGTTATTAGTAAGTAAATTTGTTGCCTTAGAAGCTGCAATAGTATTAACATGTTTAAAAATAGTTGTTTAGTCAGTGTAATAAGTATTCGTACAGGAACCATTTATTTTAAATTGGTTCCTGTACAGATACTTCTTACATTGACTGCACATATTTTTGCCGAATTTTTAAACCATTATTAATGGCCCTATGAGTTATGTAACATACAATCAAAATTTTCCTCATTTTTTAATTTTATGGGGGAAAAACTAATTATGTCCGCTTAGGTAGAAATTCTTTTCTGTTTATTTTTTAATAAAGGTTACCAGTGTAACTTTCTTTTTTCACCTGATTCTTAAACTGGATACATTAACTTCAAAATACAGTCAATGTAATAAGTATTCGTACAGGAACAATTTATTTTAAATTGGTTGCTGTACGAATACTTCTTACATTGACTGTAGTTACCAAATTACTTGACACGAACCTATCGTTCTTAATAACTTATTTCATCTTTTGTTTCTAACGAATAAAAACCACAAATTTTTATCACAATTGGTCCATACCAGATATCGAACGCAATAGTACGACAGATACGCATGACGAAGGGTGAATACATATTACGCTCTTTATTTATGCTGGATGTAGTTGGCAACTCTATCGGTTTTTTCAAATCGCTTTTCTTTTCTACTCTCATACTCCTAATTTGTCCTTTGAAGCTTAAGAACCACCCTGTATACTACTTCAGAGTCAAAGATCAAACTCATCCGGAATCGTATCATCCTTACACTTCCAAAAGATAATTGAAATCATATCCGAGAGTCAATGTCGGAGCCTCGGTCTGGAAAAGAATCGTACGTTGTTTTAAAAAATTTGAAACAATCGACGAGAGCGAACCGTTCTTACCATCGCACGTACTAGAACGTCGAGGTGCGCCGCGCGCATTTCGACGTTGGAAGCGAGACTCTGGTAGGTACATCCGACCCCGCGACTGAACCGCAAACTACAGTTAAGCGCAAAGAGCATAAAATGAGAATCGAGAGATGTGCGTGCAGAGTGGGTCGTAAATAAAATTCTTGTCTCTCCGTGTCGACGCGTCTAGGCGCGCGCGGTGAACTAGAGACAAGATGGAAACGGGACAACGTTTCTTTCGCTCGTGGAAAATCGAGGATGAGGTATCGAGTGCATCGCGTTTCCGTTGTTTAGAACGAATTCGGGAGGCTTCGACGTCTTCGCGAAACTTGGAATCAGCTTGGTTAGCAACGGCGACACTCGAAACGGTTTTTGGTCTTCACAAGCGTGGTAGCTTTTACCGTTCCCTTTTCTCTTAGGGATGAAAATTCGGTTAAGAATGCGTTTCTCGACGCAAGCGGGTTTTTCGAAATCGTTTATCGTTCGTCGATCTCTCGATGCACGGTAACACTAGCTAAATTAACCCTTTGTATTCGAGGTCTTTTTTTCTGGTATTTAGCAGCAACTCGAGATGCTTTCTTAGCATTCTATTGCCACGAATGTTAAGATTATATTGACTTCGAAAATGAGATCTCTAATTTGAGATTTGAGAATCAGGTCACCTTTGGCTCAACGACGATCATTTTATTGATCACTTCGAGTTCCAGAGATATTAAACCTAAAGGAAACCTAGTGGTGACTGAGAGTTACCTCTCGAGTGCAAAGGGTTAACTCTGGAATGGTCTTTTTACAGTTAATTGCGTTTAACTGAGTTAAATTGGATGATCTTTTAAGTTTTACTCGTTAACGACAGCATAGCCTGGGATGAATCCGGGTTAGACATCTTCGCGAACCTTGGAATCAAAAGTCTACTGTGTTAGGAGTATCGTCCGAGGTGGTTTAAGATATCTTCGTTGCCATGGAAGCTTTTTTATAATAAAGGGTGTCCCATAATTGTTGGGCGAACACTGAAGAAAGAACAATCTGACAGCTGAACGTATTTTCATTATTGAACAATATTTCAAGAATGATGAAAGTTTGACGGCCGCAGTTCGAAAGTTTTATACAAAATATGGTAAAAATAGTGTTTTTACCTCGTTAGCTGTGAAAAGATTAACCCTTTCGGTGCTCTACGAGAGTATACACAAATTATTTTGTTCTTGTCGTGTTCAAGACGAGTAACATCGCATGAACTTTTTAATTAGGAAAGAGTTCAAGATGAGTTAACTCATTAACTCAGTAACTCATTAACGCATTAATTAATTGACTCATTGACTCATTAACTCCTTAATAATAAGCCCATGCGATTTAACTCGTCTTGAGCACAACAAGAAGAAAATAATTTGACGAGTATACTCGCGCGGAGCACCGAAAAAATTACTTGAGAAATTCAGGGAGACTAGATCAGTTGGAGACGCTAAACACACCAGTCGTCCAAAAACAAGCAATGGTCGAATGATGCCTCCAGCCCAAAATCCGCACAAAACAGTGACTCGTTGTGGGTGCAATTGTTGTTCGACAATTACACGTGGGTTCTCCAAACCCCAAACACGGCAATTTTGATGATTAACAAAGCCATCAAGGTAAAAATGTGCTTCATTGTTTTTTTTTTTTTAACCTTTTGCACACGAGGCCTTTTTTCTGGTATCTGGCAGAAATACAGAGATGTTTCTTAGTATTCTATTGCCATGAATTCTAAGCTATCTAGATTTTAGAATAAGATCACCTTTACCTCGCCGACAATCATTTTATTAAAATATTGGTCAATAATAAAAAAAAGGTTGTCATATCGTATAACGCTACATTTTTACTAACCCTAAACTCTCAGTTCTCAAATTATTCTTTCTTCAGGCTTGCCAACAATTTACTGCGAACATGCCGACAAATTAAAATCTTGCGTTAATTTTAGGACACCCTTTAGTTGTATTCTCTCCAACGAGGAAAGATTCGGATAGAAGTAGTTTGTCGTTTCTCGTGAAAAAGAATCGGTCATGATTAACAATAAGTATTTCCATTCGAAGCGAGAGAACGACGTTCTCGACCTCTTCGATCCAGGCTAACATAGTCCAGGTTAGATCTGGTTTAGGTCCTTCGTGGAATCGATGTTCGACATCGTTAGCGGCGATGACACGAAAAATGGTCCTCGATAGTGTCAACCATGAAAACTCCTTTGGTGTGTTTCTCTCTTAAAGTTTGAAAATCCCAGCGAGATGTACAGTTTTTAAAGTAACTGTGATTTCGATAACCGTTCTCTTCGAAAAGAATCGAATGGGATATCTTTTGCTGAAACACGAGAGAAAATTCGTCGATCGATTTATACACAGCGATACGCTCTTCGGATGTTACTTATTCGACAATTGACTCGGATCGTCGATCCAACGGTGTTTCTTCTCCGTGTGATATGGAAGATTGAAAGTTGTTTCCGTATATATCAACCGAGATCGATTGATTCTTAGAGTAAGAAAGTCTTATAAATATTCGATGATGCTCGCGGGGTTGCATAGACGCCGCTCGACCGATGTCCGACATCTTGGTATCGTCCGTGTGTTCGGGCACCGAAACGATTTCAGATCGAATCGTGAAAATACATCTGTTCCCAGATGTATCGAAGCTGCCCCTAATTGCTCGTTAAACCGTACAACACCGCGATTCGATGAAAAAGAGCCGACAATCGCTGCTTGAGGACTTGATCCATCGCGTGTCTGGTAAGGATTCGCACGCCGCTCACGAAAACCGGAAGCAACGGAGTCAGTTGATCATCCTGCGAAGAGTTTTTCAATTTAATATTAGCATCGAACGAGATACGTTAATTGAGAGTAATAGAGAAATGGGAGAAGAATCCAACTCGAATAATATCGACATTTATTTAATTTAATAATAATAATACTGCAAGAGTTGCAGCAATTATAAAATCAAAAGAAACTCCCACGAAGTATTAATTATTTATAAATTCAGGTGAATTTCGTTTCTTTTATGAAGTTTTAAAAATGTAACAATTGTACAAATACTTATTGCTTCTATATTTCTATCGATTTCTTGTTTTTTTCTTGTTAATTTCGCACTTTATATAAATAACTAAATTTTTTGTACCTTAAGGCCCCATACCACAGTGCGCGCGCGGTAAGTGGGTGTATTTTTAATAATTTTTTTCGAGCAAACGATGAACGTTCTTTTTTTTTCATTGATACTTCTATCCAATATATACATAAATAAAAGACTACACAAATTTTCTTATCCAAATATTACGAATAGTTTGCGGCGTACACCGCTACACTCTGACGAAGTTGCTGCTTGGTGGTTGACAGCGATTAAGCTATACGGTTCATCTGAAGAAAAAATATATATATATTTATGAACTAGACATATAGGTTTACAGCACCACGTAGGAATTTCTTTATAATGGGTCCCCTTCTATTTTATTTTTATTCATAAAGAATGAAAATAATGCATGCTGGTCCGCCATTTTTTTTTTTAGATATCGAAATTTCCCTACGTGATGCTATAAACCTATATGTCTAGTTTATAAATATATACCTTTTTTTTTTCTTCAGATGAACCGTATGGTTAATCGCTGTCAACCACCAAGCAGTAATTTCGGCAGAGTGTCCTTTTGATAGCGGCGTACACCGCAAACTATTCGTAATATTTGGATAAGAAAATTTGTGTAGTCTTTTATTTATGTATATATTGGATAGAAGTATCAATGAAAAAAAAAACATTCATCGTTTGCTCGAAAAAAATTATTAAAAATACACTCACTTACCGCGCGCGCACTGTGGTATGGGGCCTTAACTATTTTAGAGATTTCCAAGAATATGTAAAATATCGTTGTTTACAAAAAATAAGGTAATAAATTACAATTTCACAGTTTTTTTTTAAAATTAATCGGTCTACGAATACTTTCTACACCCACTAGATCTCGAATAATGTTATTTCAAAAGTGTCCAGGTTTCGCGTTAATTGCTCAGATGACAAATATTCTTCGATTTAACTCGAAAATTGACCGATATCGTAGTTTACTCGTGGCAAAGTGATCTGCGCGTCAAAAGTTACACAGAATTACATAGAAGATTAACGAAGTTTTAAACGAAAGTTGGAAAGAATCGATAGAAATTTAAAGGTACTCACCGACAAAGCTAGAGTCCAATCCAATATGGTGCCGAGAGTCTCGGCCCAAGCCTTCCTGTGCGCCTCGCTGTCTTTATGAATGTTACTCTTCCGCTGGAACAAAGTTTCCCTCGTTTGCGTCGGGATTTCATAACTGTCAACGCTCGTTTCGTCCCCGTCGTCCTTCAAAAACGGATTTGTTCTGAAGCCTCTTTTGCTGCGCTCGTAGTCGCGCAACAGTTCGTCGATGTTATCCAAGAACTGCGGCGAGCCTGTCTCCTCTTTCTCCTCGATCTTCGCAGACACACGCGGGGACATCTCGATATCGTTCGAAGAGCTGGACACGGTCGATCCTTGCGTTCTTCTCAACTCCATCACCGATCTGCACCTCGATACCGCCGAATCAAGACTCGCGAATCTCTCAACGTTCTCCGCTTCGCTCGCCACGACGAATTTCAGAGAATTCCTGCGGGAGAGCAAACAGGCTTCGCTTTTCCTCCTCTCGGGTCTCGACTTTTGATACGTAGCCATCTCGTCAAAGGTCAGGCTGGCGTTCGCCGTCTTTGCTTCCAGCATGGACAACGGGAAACAGTCCGCGGACTCGGTCCTCTTCAGCGGGCTGAGCTCGTAGTACAGGTTGTCCTGTTCGTTTATCAGCAACGGCGGAGCTGGTGTCGTCGAGCTGTACTTTCCGTCGATGTAACCCTCGCTGGAGGTGCCACCGGATCGATCGGGATAAACGACTTTCTCCGTAAAGGAGCCTAACCTCGAAACGGGCCTCGAGTCGTCGGTTTCCGGTTCGGACTGCGGACCGGAATCAGTCGAATACTCCACCGCTAGATCGGAAAGTCTGAAGGGTCTGTCATCGTCGTCGGACTCTGCTCCAAGCTCCTCCAATCCGCTCTCGTCGTCCAAGTTGGGACTGTAGTCTTCGATGTCCTCAGGTTCTTCCTGTTCCTCCTGGTCCATTTGGTATCCCGACTCCTCCGTGGTCGGCTCGGTCAGCGCTGGCGTGACTCTGTCGTTAACGATCGGCTCCTTCCTGGTGATCTCCGGATAGTCATCGGGCTGCGCTACCAACAGAAATATCTTCCTCTCCGAGAAATTGTCCACTCTGGTGTGCTTCCCGTCCTCGTCTAAAACCACCTCCGCGTAGCTCTCGCAGAGTTCTTCGAACGTGTTGCGCAGCTGTTTCAAGTATTTCGACAGCTTTCGGAGACTAGAGCTTTTCGAAGGGTTTGTATCGTCTGGGCTTGAGGTCAGCATCGATTTCACAGTTTCCAGGGTCACCTCGGTGGTGCCTTCCATTTCGCGCAGGCACAGCTCGAACAGCGTGACTATCTTGACAGTCCAAGCAGCTCCGGCCTGTTGATAGAGGTTCGCGGGTTGTCGGAGGTTGGCCACCTTTTGTACTAAGAATTTCAGGCCGGGACGACAGTCGAACTTTAAGGCAGCAGCGTAGGAGAGATCCAGGGCCGAGAAGAAGATGTCCACGTGGCGGCTGGATAGGTACGAGAGACACCCGTGTACGAAAGGTTTTGGCGACGCCGATGCCGCTGAATGCGGTATCACGTGGGATAAACTGGAATTGTATTATAAATTGTTTATGTTATCGCTATAGTTATGGTTATAGCACTAAATAATAAATTGCCACTTTCTCGACACATTCGCGACCGGCACATATTTTACGTTTCTATTGTAATACCGAGTATGGACGAAAATAGTAAAATTCTGAAGATGGAAATGACAAAGTATCGTTAGGGTAAAAATAAAAATTACAAAATATGTCTTGAAACATCAATGTTGTAAATATGTAGTGTATAAGGTAAAGAGATTTTCATAATTTTTTCGTAACTAGGAATAGAATTTGGAGTGACATGAATTCACGTCAGCGGTCGCGAATGTGTTAAGCGGCTTGGAACATTAAAAAAATGAAGAAAAATAATTTCTTTTTAATTAAAATTTAAGCGATTCTGAATACTTCCGTGCAATCAGAATTTAATGTAGAGCACTGGAAGTGGTAAAATTTTATATATATCTATTTTATTATATATATAATTTTAATACATATATCATTTATAATAATAAGTACAATTATATTCTGTAACATACTAATGTATTACTTATTGTACTACATTTTATTCAAATTTTTCGTGCATATTTTGCATATTTTTCGTACATATTTTGGATATTTTTCACGCATATTTGGATATGCATGTTACATGTTTATCGTGCATAAATATGCAATATATTTGCATATGTTTTAAAACATAAACATGCAAAATATGCAAAATAAAAAATGTATTTTTATAATACTCAAATTTCAAAACAAATTTCTGTCTAGGTCCCATTCTTTTAATTATTTCCTATAAAAATATGCATTTGCATAAACTTCCGCAGTCTACTTATCATTAATATGTGGGAGGGCTTACTGGTAGCCTACTTAGCCCCCATTCAAATAAATTTGTTTGCATTAAACGTAGCGAGCGCAAAATTCTTTTCTTACGGATTTGTAGAGCGCATAAATAGTGCATTATAATGCAATTTTTTCCTTAAATTTTTATTTAAGTGGGGGAGATTCTACTGTACATACCTGGGAAAAGATGAGTCGGCACCTTGCAATAGAACACTGGCGATGCAATGGATGAGCATCTGATGAACCAATAGACCGACCACCAGTGCTCTGAGCTGAACTCTAACGATGTAGAGGTCAGGATTGAGAGTGGAGCCCACCGAAGGTGGATACAAGAGGAAGACGTACGACCTGTCGTCGGAGGTTCTCGAGGTGTCCTCGGTGCGTTGTTCCTCGAGGAGGAACACCTAGAGAGACGAGCATAAGAACGTCAGTTCCTCGTGGATCGAGGGTTGACGTCTGATCGCACGATTTTTCGTAGATTCTCGAAACGTGTACGCACATCTATTGGACGTACTGATAGCTTTCGTGAATCTTAGATTCGAGAAACTACGGAAGCGATCGTGCTGTAGCAATGATGTCGCGATGTGGTGACTAAGGATGACGTATCGTTCGCGAATAATCATCAAAGTTTAAGTAATATCGGTGGTTCTAGCTCAACCTATCGCGATAACGTTTTTACGCTCGCGCTCGGTCGATAAAATACGTGTGCATTCTACGAAAGCTGCAGCTTCTAGAATAGGTGTCGTATATCTCATCGCGTACATATTATGTGACAGTGAAATTCTAGCCATGGACTCAAGCCATGGATTTTAATGGTGATACGCAAGACCGTGCCAAGTTAAATTTAAATGATATCTCGGCCAACGACGGGGTCCTTCCGTTCTTCCATTTTTCATTTTCCATACGCGTTCAATTTTCCGGCAATCACGTTTATCAATAGGTGTATCCAAAACGAGTCGATAATATAATCGAAAGATTATATTATCATGATCCCTGTCATCGTATCCGACATCGGTACGTTACACTTGGACGACCGAAAGATCTCACGGACGAGGATGAATTTAGCGTCGAAGGACCTCGTCGAGGAGGTTCCGCAGCTTGACCTGTGCCTTCTACCAGCGAGTGCAAACATCTAAACGAGGTGATCGGTTTGCCCAATCGTTTCGTCTCATTGTCAGCGTCGACAGGCTTGCTCGATTCCTCCCCGTCCTTCTCGCGCGCTTCCGATCCCGTCGCGAAGGCCGATCGAAAGGAATGAGGGTGCAACACAAGAACCAATTAGCAGATAATGAAAGCATCTGTATTTGACAGTGTGCATCGAGCGGTACAAAAATACACATTTTAAAAGACGCGAAGGTATTGAGGATGCGCAGTTCCGTACAAACATTCGATGTCGTTTCGTTTAGATATTTCTTTGGAACGCTTCGACGGTCGTCTAATCGCAACGCTGCGCGGCGGCATAGAATTCGAGTAAAGATCGATTCAGACTATACGACACGTACCGGCACCGACACGACAAAACATTAAAACACGCGTTTTAATGGAACTATTCACACTATTCCCGTCGACGTTCAGGTCGGTGTCGGTTAAGTGTGAATAGTTCCATTAAAACGCGTGTTTTAATGTTTTGTCGTGTCGAAGCCGGTACGTGTCGTTGCCGGAACGTGACGGTCCGTGTCGTGTAGTCTGAATCGACCTTAATTGTCCAGGTACGACAACGGACGTGTCTCGTTAATAAAAACTTGGATTCTACGCCACCGTATGCCATCGATCAGCCAAACAGATGCAAGCTCGAACACACGCAAAGCGCACAATTCACGAGGCACGCTGTGTAGCAAAAGTAACAAAATATAGAGAACATGAGAAATCTAGATCGTCTACGATCGCAATTTGCGAGACCGAGAATTCTCCAATAAAAACGATATCCGAAGGCAGAAAGCGGTTGCAGTCGATTAAATCGCGTACTCGCGAGGAACACGGATCGTTAGCAGGCCTGTCGACGACGCGAACGTCGCGAAACTCTTCGATCGATCTCGAAGAGTTAGTCCGATGGATAGATCTCGTTACGTTTGTCCGATCGTTTCATCGTTTTCTAAATTCGTCTCGGTACAAGAAAAATCGATGCGGTACATTCGTTCGTCTGTTTGCTTTGCCCTAACGTTTCATTCTTTTCGTTTCGTGTGTTTTCTTTTGTTTCCTTTTTCGTTATCTGTTTTGTTTTTTTAAAATCCATGACGTGAGTTACCGTGGACGGCTAGAGCCAATGGGGGCCCGTGTTCGACGTAGTGTTAGTGTAATCGGGGGGTGTCGTGTGCTGCCTACAACCGACGGAGTAGGAGGTAGTGTGCTGGTCGAGCAGTGTCGTCTCAATGGTCATCGAATCCTGGAAAGGTGTCGTCGGCAGTGACGCCGCATTCTGCCTCTTGATGGCAGACAATACCTCGCGCAGCTGGCTCACCTGAGAGCAAGTCAGGTCAGGAGGGCACCACGTGTGTCTCTCTCGCGGACAATTGCCGATATTATACATAACACTCTCTCACTCATTCCCATCGACACCCGAGCAAAGTTACGTTACGGATTCTAAAAAGAAAAAAAAGAAAAAAAAAGAAAAAAAGAAAAAAAGAAAAAAAGAAAAAAAGAAAAAAAGAAAAAAAGAAAAAAAGAAAAAAAGAAAAAAAGAAAAAAAGAAAAAAAGAAAAAAGAAACAAGATGTCTCAAGACAGGTAAACTCGCTTGCATAGAATCGGTTGACTTCGCGAAAACGAGGAGAAAATTTTAACACATTGCGTGCGGGTATACTTCGCCGCGGACTTGCGCGTGCAACGGGCGTTTTTTCGTGAGTCTCGCGGGAGTTTGTTCATTCAAGATAATCGCAATAAATTGGAAACTACTTTGTCTCTCTCAACGAAACTTTTAAATTTTTTACTTAAATACATGCTCTATAATTATTTTAACAAACCAAAGACATTTTTCCGAAATCATGAAAATAGACAATTTTTAGAGTTTTACTATGTATTCAAAAATATTTATTCGTAATAAGTACTAATAGCAATGATAAGACTTTAATATTTCTTCGCAGCACGGTATCGTCCAAAGCATTTGCCTCTGTGAAGCGGAAAATTGCATACATATAATACAGGGTGCGGCAGAAAATTTGATCTCTAAGTTGTATTCGTCCTAGCACGAAAGCACTTCGTTCTTTTACATTTCTGTTCGATTTTCCATTAAAAAAAAAAGTACATAAATATATTTTGTTCAGAATTTTCCAACTTGCTTAATACGTTCACGCTAGCGTGTACCACCGGTGGCTCATGCCCGCGTGTCTGTCATATAGCGTGTACCACAGGACAGCCCCGTGGTAAGAAACACAAATAGCAGCGCCGGTTTAAATGTATTAACGTATTTTTTTCAGATGTCGAACATATAAGGAGAATAGACTTTAATTGTCGTTTCTCTTCCTTTTAAATAATAGTAACTATTTTGTACATTTGTAAATATTGTATAGTTAACAGACGATGTACAATTATTGTATAGAGCAACACAGTTCATCTATTTTCTTGGAAAGTTCCAATTATTACCTTTTGTTTTATATATGTACTTTAATTGATATCTTCTTCAGTGGCAGACTGCGAAAATCATAAAAGTACGTTTCCCGCATACAATGTGTTAATGCACAAGATCGAACGGTAATCGATTCTTTTCACCGATCGCTGACAAACGGTCGATCGATTCCGTGCAAAAGCGACGAAGGACAATGTTCGGACTTCGAGGACGTGTCGGACTTCAGAGCGTGCAGTCCGATCAATACCAAACGTGTAATCGAAGTTCGTAAGTTCAAGATTTGCCGAGAACGAGGTCGTGGAAAAACTTGTGGATGGAGCATCACGAATCGCGAGCAACCCCCGACACTCTTAGTTATAGAAGAGCAAAATTCTCGAGGACGCGTTTCATATAACGCTATACTTACACGTTTTACCGCTTCGACGTTGAAGCATCGAGCTAATATCGACACCATTTAATTTCGCGTGTACTTACGCGAGAAAATAGAAAATGGCTGCACACCCCCTTGGGCCGCGAACGTCTTACAATGCCGAACAGTGTGCTCTCGATGCAAATTAGGGAACAGCGATCAAGGGATCGGTCTCTAGTTCGCGGTGTCCGCTGATCACGCAATCACCGAACGTCAGCATAGTCGAACGGGTACGCTCGTGGCGAACAGTGAAGGCACAAAGAAGCACAACGAACGTCAATCAGCCAGAAGTGAAATAGTTTCTTCCGGATCGATAGGTTCGGACACGGAAGCAACAACGAGACGACCTACCTGGGCGGCGAGCTGTCGTAGACGTTCCGATTCCTCGAGTGTCGCATCCCGTCGGGCGGCAACCTTGACCTGTGCAACGTCACCGTAAAAGGATTCCGATCTCGGTGAGAAAGCCATGGTCAGCTGGTGCAACTCTTGCAACGAATTCGAGCAGGCACGGTAACAGGCAACGCCGCAAACCTCCCATTGTTCTGGGGTGAGAAGCGGACCGCTGCTCACGAGTACGTGCCTATGAAAAACCAGGTTTTGCCTGTATTGATCTGTCGATATGTCGGCCCGAATAAATAAACTAGGGCGTTCTGGATTCTATCGGCGCGAGTTCCGGCCACGACGATCGAGAGTTCTCAGTTGGACTGGGACGAGTGTTACATAAAAGTAGCATCTTGGTTACTCGATTACGTCGAGGACGGATACTCGACGCTCCGTTTGATACCAGACTCCAGGAGGACGATTTCTCTTTGATTATTATTTGTTAGGACTAGGCTCGGTTCCTTCGTCCTTTTTCTCTCCGCGACGGCGACGCGAGGAGACACGCGAATCCAGGTCCGGCTCGGCGAGAGAAGCGGGTTGCTACCAAGAGTGGGTGACTCTAGGATTTCAGATCAGGATCCCGTTCGTCGATTCACTGCCAGGCTAGCTATCTGCCCGCGAACCTGTCCCGTTTTTAAACTCTGCGCACGCCTGTACATCGATACCTCGCGACCGACCCCGGCCGGGATTGAATTACACAGCTCGACGTACGCCGTGCATTAATACGGAGAAAACGCGCGAATGGATCCAGCCAGGCCAGAGATAGAGAAAGACGAATGTCCGAGCCGGGGGCTGCACCGTGTGTGCGCTGCACCCATGGCACCGTGTGCGCGTGTGTTGTTGGCACGACGCTCCGGGGGTGTCGAGTGTCGGTGGCTACCTTATCCCACCGGACAGCCTGTCAAGCTTCGTTATCATCTTACACGCACGCTACGCCCGTAACGACGATATATTTAACCTCCGTCGATGTACATTCCATCGAACCTCCGCGTTATGATTCACCCTTTCTCTCTTCCGATCGTTCTACTCCGCCGCGAAAAACTAGCGCCGTCTCCGTTCACGTTCGCTTCGCAGTTTCAATTTCGATCGGCACCGACCGGATAATCGCGAATCTTCCTCGTGATTCGCGGATATACCGCTTAGTGGATAATGTTCAACGATTTCGGAGCCCTCAGGGGCTGTAGCGGTGTTTGTAGGTACAGTACGGCCTTAACAACCCTGAGGTATCCGAGCTAGAGAGGGGTCAGCGGGCCCCAATAGATGAGAAGTAAGGGATACTGCAAACAGTATTATAAGAATGCAAAAGTCATGTAAGACGATGATGAAAAACTTACGCCAAGTACGTGAAAAAGTGGAGAATTCAAGGAGTTATCATAGAAAAATAGAAGATCCCCATAAAAAACTACAAGAAAGTAGACAAATATGTGAAATCGAAATGATATTAAAATAATGCAGGAGTCGTGTAAGATGATGATAAGCAGAATGGACATAAGCTAGTTATAAGTAAGCAGTAGTGCAATAACTTTGTATAATAAGTTACGCACTTTAACCCTTTTAGTGCCAGAGCCGATATATCGGCCCGTGCCTTGTAGCGTTTTACTATTCGCATTACGGGAGAACTTTACCTCAAAATAAATTTATAATACGCTGTAAATGGTCTAATTTCATTATGAGAGAATTAAAAAAAATAGTTTTTCGTTTTAACTAAAAAATAAAATTGCTTATTTATGTTATTCTAATGAAGTATTATGCAAAATTATATCACAAATATATTTATGACAACATAGTTTTGTTTCAGCAACGTTATATTACCTATAACAATTACGTATTTCGGAAGAGATAATCCGTCCGGCGCTTACTTTATTTTTGTTATGTAATATTATTTATCTTGTTACAAAATATATTGGAAATGGAAAGTATATACTTTGTAATAAATGGTCTATATAAAATTACGATGAAAAGATGACTTTTTGTATGTGCAAATACGTTTTGTGAGAGAGAACTCAACTTTTACTTTCTTCACGATCCTTTATACATTTGTTATTTATATAATTTTCAATGAATTTAGAAAAACTAGTGTTATTGTTTTGTTCTCTATTTCGTCCTTAATATACTGCTTTCTCATGTAATATTGTTTCTTGATATATTGATATATTGAATCATGTAAATATTGTTTCTTGTTTGGTTTTTATGAGCATTTTCCCAAACCCTAGTAAAACCGTGAAATTCGGCCGGTTATTCTCGCATAGGCACGTCTTTTTCGCCTGGCACTAAAAGGATTAAATAAACGAATGAACGAATGAAACGGTTTCGGAGCCTGCAACCTCCTAGCTTCAACCACCACCGAACGGTGTTATCCTTCACGATAACCGACTATCAACGATCGACATTCTCTTCGATTCGGTTCTACGATTCATCCGGACGCGTCGAGAATGTTTTCTCTTCGGTCGAGAAGGAAATGTTTTTGAATTCTACAACTTTAACACTTTCGCTGCGGACGAAAATAAGTAGCCGTTCGCTGGGAGCTGCAATTATGGTATTTTTTTTAATGAAAAATTTCTTACAAATGTTCTAATATGATTATTTTCAAAAACATATATTTATGGTAACTTATTTTATACAGGCTGTTCAAAAAAAAAAGCATTCAATATTTATATGGTGTATAGGGCACACTGTACCGAGTAAAAAAGTTTTAGTAAACATTGGTCCAAAGGTCAACCGTTTCTGAGGTATAAACATTTTTGTTTGCTATTATCATGATTGACTTATTACTGGGTTTTCGATATTTATAGAAGATTTTCCACGTGTCCACCGCTCATTTTTGTAGACGCTTGGCATCTTCTTCTTACAGAGTCGCGAACTCTCTCGAAAATCCCACATTTCTGTTCAATTATTTGACAAGCATAGTGAATTCCGTTACGTAGTTCTTCTAACTCATTTATCGACGTGGAATACGCTTGACTTTTTAAATATCCCCAGAAAAAGAAGTCCAGAGGATTTAAATTGGGGGATCGAGGAGGCCATGCAACTGGTCCACCACGTCCTATCCACCTTTGACCAAACACCGTGTTTAAGTGCTCTCTCGTGGTACTAGGAAATAAAAATGTTTATATCTCAGAAACGGTTGACCTTTGGACCAATGTTTACTAAAGCTTTTTTACTCAGTACAGTGTGCTCTATACACCATATAAATATTGAATGCTTTTTTTTAAACACCCTGTATATAATAAGGTCCCGGTTGGTTATTATCCATTTTATAAGGATAAACACAAAAAGAAAATTTTCCAAAAGTCTAACCACAACACTAAACACAAAAGAACAGACCAACATGAATGCTTAGATCGTACTGACTGTTTAAATACGACTAAACCGATTAAAAAAGCAGTGTTAACCGAAATATTTATCCGAGTTGCCATTCACCGCCAACGCCATTTTGTTTCGATCAGGTCCGGACATTTCCGGGTTATTTCATTCCGATTCTTGGCGATCTTTGATCCGCTCGAGAGGAGAATTCAAGGGTTAGCCGTCCAATTCGGAGCGGAACCGAGTCGTAGGAGCACGGTAGGAAAAAAGGAAGTTTGATCTATTCGTATCGACGGTTGTACGTTCAATCGATAAACAGCTAACCTGATACAAGCGCAACCCAAACGAGCTATGCTCTCCGTGGGCTGAACGACGCATTCCGCCATCACCAGCAAAAGTTGTTTCAACATCAGCGTCGTGGCCGGTAGATACGCCTCGTTCCGGAGAACCTCGGGCCCTAAAAAGCATCGACGAGTCTCGGTTACTCCTCCAGCTTTCGAAAAATTGATCGTCTACGGTGTCTCAAGCTATCCGTACTTTATCCTACGAAATGCAGATATGGTTCAATCACCTTGCAAATGAGTCAAGTAATCGACAACCAGATCCGTCGTGAGACCGCAACACTGCTTAAAGTTGGGCGCAAAGTTGTCCCAACCCCTGAAGATCTTCGAGGTCTTCCTCAGCCAATTTTGGACCATCGGTAGCAACAAATGATTGACGCAATAGAGTCCGAACGCTGGTCCAGGAACGTTCAAGGTATCTCGTAGAAGATGGAATAGAGTTTCCAGAGTGTGAGGCTGGTAACGTTTGGGACATATCATGGTAGCGCTAGCCAGGCCGTCGATCAAGATATACCACACTCTCAGAATGCCACTGGGCTTGTCCATGCTCTGCAGAGTGGTGGCCGTGCGAACGTTCTCCACGAGTACGTCGTGCGGTCGCTCGGGAATGGTCTCTTGTATCGATTCGGTGTGCTTATCGAATCTGATCAGTTCCGAGTTCGGTATCGTTGGATCGACGTATTGGGGAATGGTCGAAACCTGGATCCTCTGGGCGGAATGGAAGATGGGGCACGCTGGCATCCCGTACATAGAGGCCAGGATGTCGCTGCAGCTCAGCAGATACTTGAGACTCTCTACGCAGAGTCTCATTCGTCGGGACTCTGCGATATCGACCTGGTCCTGTTCGTCCTGATGCCCCTCCGCGTCGCCGATACCACGCACGTGCCTCAGGAGGCACAGGATGCAATCTAGCGCCGCGTTGGCGAACACCAACGTATTGTCCGTCGATAGGAAGACCCTGAAGACCTCCAGCAGAGGCGCTGATTCGACGGAATCTGAATTACCGACGGAGGCTACGCGCAGCGCCCCGAACAGAGGTCGCCAGCCTGAACGAATCTCTGTTCGGTTGGTTTCGACGAACTCGCAGATGCAGCTCACGATCTGCCGGGGGATAAATTGATCGCGTTTTCAACTGAATTCAAAATTTCAAAGACGTACACGGTCTGTCTAAAACGAATCCGAACTTTTGCTATAAAAAGAAAAAAGTACAAGTAAAGTTTTTACACACACGATTATTCACTCAAAAGAATCTCCCACTGTAATTAACATTTCGAAGGACCTTTGCAGCTCCTGTTTTGGTACCCAGTTTAGTATGGCGGTTACAGCGGCCTGAATCTCCGAAATGTTGCTATAATGTGTCCCTTTCATTGGAATTTTCAATTTTGGGAAAAGAAAATAATCGCAGGGAGACAGATCAGGCGAGCAGGGTGGATGATCCAAGGTAACAATGTCAATTCCAATGAAAGGGACACATTACAGCAACATTTCTGGGATTCAGGCCGTTGTAATCGCCGTACTAAACGGGCTACCGAAACAGGAGCTGTAAAGGTTCTTCGAAATGTTAATTACGCGGTCTACACGCTGCACAGTGGTCCTAAAGCGGAAAAAACTCAATTTTCGAAAGTCAAATTTTTGTTATAGACTATGTCTTGGCTACTGTAAATAGTCTGTAGAATTACCCTGTGAAATGGTTGTTTTACTTACTTTGAAAAAAATTAAGATTTCACTTATGATTGGGTAAAACTGAATTGATCGGTCATTAATAATGTCTAGTAACAATCTGTGAACATGACTTTTTACGGTTTAGGCAAAAAAAAAAAAAAGAAAAAATTACGAGTAAAGCGAATATGCAGGTTTTTCGAATGTTTTATGAAAATTATTGATTCAAAAAAAACTCCGACAGTCTCTGGTTTGATTTCTCACGTTTTCTCATCTATATTACACCATGAAAACATGATGAAAATTTCAGCTGTGTCTACTTGCTCTTTCGGGAGTTACATAATTTTATTCTCAACTATGTGTGAATACTCAAATCTTGAGAATCTGCGAATTCCTTCTAAAATCCATTCTGATGAAGGTGCGACATTATTATTGAGACATCCTTCGCGAAAATTAGCTCATGATTAAAGGACGTATTATGGACTGGTAAATTCCTAACAAATCCACGACAGATAAAATGTACGATGATTAAAAAATATAAAAAAACCTGTATTTCTTCCTATTAAAAATTCACTAAAAAAACTTCAATGACCCAAACATACGAATATGAGGCCTGAACCCCCCAAAAAACACCTTCCCCTTAGCGAAAAAGCTATTGACTAGTTATTATAAAAATTACCATTTTTTCATTAAAATAATTTTTACATAATTTTAATGTATTTTTTCATCCTGAATCGAACGAGACTAGTGTCGGATTGATAGGCTGATCCGTTTTCAAGATATTGAGTTTTTTCCGCTTTTTGGCCATTTGGGACTACTGTGCGCTGTATTGATTCAGAGGGAGATTATTTTGAGTAAATAAACGTGTGTGTAAAAACTTTACTTGTACTTTTTTCTTTTTATGGCGAAAATTCGGTTTGTTTTTAGACAGACCGTGTATATACGCGCGATAGCTAATCTAGACGAGAATAAGTTCCAAATTTGAAATTTGCTGTTCGATAGTTTCTAGTCGTTCAAACTTTTCCTCTTTTCTACTCGTTAATTTTTAACAAAATTCTCGGTTGCTATTATATTTCGTGGATCGAAGTAATAGACCAACAAATTTGAAGAAGCCATGTATTCGTTTCGAAGACAAGTTCCAAATTTGTTTCCTACTAAGTTGACGAAGCAAAACGACCTACTTGGTCCTGCACATCGCCGTCGCAGAGTTCTAGGCACAACAGGTTCTCGAAAGGCTTGAAGAGAGCTTCGTTGAAATGGAAGTGAGCCAACTCTACTTGCTCGTTCAGCAAAGCTGCCATCGAGTCGTGGATGCATTGAACCGCTTTTTTCGAAATACCGCGGTCTTTGTGACAAGCTGCTTCCATGAAATGAGGGCCCAGAATACTCCAAACCTGGAACAACATTTTACCAATCACCGAATCGCCGAAACTTGTTGACGCGAGTTGCTATTATATATTATACTGGTTTAAATTCGTTAAGGGGGTCCACCTGTGTAAGATTTTCAAAAAATCAAAAATTGTTTTTCTACATATTTATCATCTAGGAGATATTACAATGACTGTCACAGAAGCGTTTTATAAAATTCTGCTTAGTTCATTATTTTTCGAACTCCAAACGTGCCCGGTTTATTTCTCGAAACCACGGTTTTGGAACTGGCAAGTAGGATTGCGCAAAATCCATTACATGAATCGGAATGAAATCTTTTTTCTACAATTTTCAAACGTAATTGGTGGTACTGGCAGTGAGAATCATGTTAAAAAGAATTTTGTCCAACGTCTATTAGCCATTAGATAGGGGAAAAGATACCTTAAAATATTATTTTGTAGTTTATACGCCACCCTATTAACAATTTTCCAAATTTTGTGAATATCTTATCGCCAGTACCTTCAAAATGTAATTATAAAGAAAGCGATATTTTACTTTTTTGTTTCAGATGATCAAGTACGATCAAATCCTGCTCGCCGAAGGACTCTTCTACTTTTAAGTGGTCTCGTTAAAGCACCGCTTACATAAATAAGCTTAAATAAGTTTACATAAATAAATATGACATTTTTCTTATTAATTCTGGTAACCAAAAGAATGAAACTATACGTGGCTATTTAATAGTTCATCAATAATCATTTTATATCGACCTGTAAAATAAATGAATAATAGATTTAAAGTAAACTATATTTTGTAACTATTATTTAAGAGTGTAACAGGCAATGAATATATGTTTCTAATTTTTTTTAATTATAACTTTCTTATATTAATTATTATGTCATTTATAATGGTTAATATCAATATTTATTCCGTTAACTTTGTTACATTGCTCTATCGAGATCCATTTTTCAGCAATTTCAATATTCTTGATTTTAACGACTCGTTCTAAAAAAATTTATTTCTCAAATATTAGCAGGTAGTAGCAAAAGTGGACATTATATGCATGAAATATAAAGTTAGAGGAACTAAATATAAAAGAATCACTGATACATTTTTTTACCTTTCTTTTTTAAGTCTATTGTAAAATTTAATTTCGAATCTCGCGCATGAGAATTTTTTAATAATCAGTAAACTGTTAATATAGGCAACAGCTATGAAATAAACATACCCATAATAGTGGAATTCATGTCAGACAAAATGAGGTATGAAGAATGAATATTACTGCAGACTAAGTGAAAAAAAAAAAGAAGTAAATTGTACTATCGTAAACGGCGAACTGAAACTGAACGTGATAATATGCTACAATTAGGTAGCCATATAATTATAAATAAGTGCGGTTTCTTAGCAACCACAAACAATTTCAAGCTATTGACATCTAGATAACAAAATAAAATGCTAGATTGTGCTCTAGCAAATTCATCATTTTTCTATTTTTTTCCATTAATCGACGCACTGTGCGCCGTCTAGGAATATCCACATATCGAAACATTGTGATAAAATCAAAAATTAATGTTAAAGCGTCGATCTACCAAATAGAAAAAAAATTATCATAATTGCACTAGTACTTTTTCCACAAAAAATTCTTGAAAATTGCCTTGAAAATTAAACGTTACACAGGTGGACCCCCTTAAAGGACCTCCCTAAACTTTTAAAGCTCTCACCCTCATAATATGAATAAGAGGCCTTCCACTTTTCACGCACTTCAGCATGACCTCTCCTAACCGAGCCAAGAGCAGCACGTTCATCTCGTTTTCCCTGGGTTTGCTCTTCCTCCACCAAAATCGTTTGTTCTCCTTCGAACCGTCCGTTGTCTTGAACAGCTGAGCTTTGCTCGCCTTGCAAAGAGCCGCCAGGAACAAGCACAGAGCTCGAAGGTTCAGCTTCAACGCGGCGTTCTCGAATAATCTGTCGACTTGTTGCGACAAAACGCAGACAATTTTGGCCGCGTAGTCCGCGGGAAGAATGCCGTTGAACTGGCTGTCTGCGTTCGATTCTTGGATTATCTCTGGGATGGTATCCGAACTTGGGTTCTGCGTGTAGGGACTCGAGAGGAAGCTGTAGACGTCGACGCTGCGACAAAGAACTTCGGTGAACGGGACGCGATATTGGAACGTCGAAGAGAAATTTCGAGAATGACACCTTACCATGTTTCCTCTTCGTCGGTGATGTTGAAATTGAGCCTCAGTTTGTCCTGATTTCCTTTGGGATCTCCGTTCGAGGCATCCTTTTTTTCTTTCTTTTGCTGGGTTTTAGGCAGCGACGGGTTCTGGTTTCTTCCGAAGAAGTCGTGCTCCAGCTTGCTCACGTACAAGCAGCACCTTTTCCAAAATGCGAAGCGAAAGGTAAGATCTCGGAGATCGGTAGAAATCGTCGCGTATATAGTGATGGGCAAAACCTTACGCTTCGAATAAATCTGAAGTTTGCCGATATGTTTGTCTCGTTTCCTCTTTTGAATATTTTACAAAGAAGGGAACAAGACAAACATATCGGCAAACTTTAAATTCATTCGAAGCCTAGGGTTTCGTCCATCTCTGCGCGTATCGCGAAACTAAGGGCGATGTCTTACGTGAAAACGTGAGGCCAGCAGTCGCTACCGTGACTTCCGAGTTCCAAACCTTTGCCCAGAAGCACGTCCATGCTCAGCGCGTGCGAAGTGTGAATATTGGTCGCTCTGTTTTGCAATTTCAACCGCAATACGTCTTTCGTTCGAGTGATTCTCGATATAGACTGTTCCGTGCAGGCGGCTTTAGCAAGGAGAGCGAAGATGGAACCGCAACGATTCTGGAGCCCTGAATAACGAAAACAGTTGAAACGGTTACGAGTCGTTCATGAAGACTGTATAAGGAGATCCAACTCCCTAAGAAAGTTACTAGAAAATGTTTAGCAAAATCCCGAACTTGAAGTTATGAATATTTCGTCCACTCGCAGCGCAAGTGCGCACAGACTACGATATATATGTCATATGTGTATATATTATCTATTAATATATAGATGATAGAGCCTCAAAAAATTCATATGTATTTTGCAATAACAAATGGACTGCCGGTCAAGTGCAGGGCAATCTGAAGATTATCTGTAGATAAATTGTATACAAATGTATATCGTAGTCTGTGCTCACTTGCGCCGCGAGTGGTAGAAATATTCATAACTTCAAGCTCAGGACTTTGATAACACTTCTACACTACACAGTTAGGACTCCTTATACAGTCTTCATGGAGTCGTTGTACAACGTACAGCCTAGAACAGGTGTGGCCAACCCAAATGATTTCGCGGGTCGCATATAAAATTATGAATCCCCATCATACGAGCTGATAGAGAGGACAGCTCCGCCATATTAGATTTAGACCCATTATAGACATTTTTTTGCTCTTCAGCTCTTCATTCGACACGTAATCGACGTGGCGCGATCGCGCTCCTTGGCATTTTTCGACCGTGTTTCGTGAAAACTTTCTGGTACGCGATATTATTTTATAATCAAAGTTAATTTTTTCTTATAATTTCGACAGTTAATTTATGAATATATGAATGCAAAATTAATGTACTTGTTTAATACATTGATTTTCACTACTTCAGCCATTATAAAATAAATATATTGTTGGATACTCCATCGCCCAGGCCAACTTTCTCTTGAATTTCGGATCGCGCGTGAGGAACGGAAAAACAAACGTGTTAGTCACGGTCCTTGAGGACCTGAACTTTCCCTGAACATTCTCGAAGGATCTCTCCCCCTTAGATTTTCAGAACCAAGAATCAGTCTTTCCCGAGACCTCGTCCAGTAATATCGTCCAGTAATATTCGAACTCTGTTCTCAGTTAATAAACGTTACATTTACAACAACCTTGTGGTGTCGTTACTCGGGGTCACATCAATATTTTGTAAAAGTGTGATGAATCTCGCGGGTCGCGGTTTGGTCACCCCTGGCCTAGAAGGTTTTCCATGCGTTCGAAAAGTTTCTTAACCGAGTATGTTGCTCAGGATCGCAGCTTTGTGAAGACCTTCCAAAGACAAAATTACGGTGTCCCTGATACCTCTTCTGCCTCCGTCTCGATTCAGGATACCTTTGTTACTCTCTTCTTTCGGAGGATTCAATCCTGTCGTTAAAACAGTCATCATACTTCCCCAACAACAGGTCAGCACTCTCCTGGAGAGCTTAGCGCCTGCTTCGGCTTCCGGCGTAGGTTCGCTGCGGGACAGCTGAGCCTTCTCGAGCCTTATGTAGTCGGATAGAAGCTGCCCGCCTCTCTGACTCCCAGGGATCCCGTCGACGTCTTCGAAAAATAAACGCACGAATCGATCTTTTGAAACTTTAGGACTCCGTTTCATTTCCAAGGACGTTTATTTACCCGTGAGGACGTTTATCAACGCACTGTTCTCCGTGTAGCGAGGGTTGTAGCCGCACTTCTCCAGCAGATTGCAAGCCAACACTTGTTGATAAAGCTCGGACAGCCAAGTCGCTGACAAATAAACCAAGACTCCGGATCCGTGGACCTCCTCCACGAATTGTTCCTGAAGCGTTCAACGAGATTCATCGATAATAATAATAATAATAATAATACTTTATTTACGGGCAATCTGCCCTTGATATCAAGTATTAGGTGGACTGGAAAGTAATGTCGTTTTTGCCATCTTAAATATTGGATTGTCCGGAAAGTTCATGTCGATTTTTAGTAGGTGGTCCAGGTCTGAATATATCGAAGAGTTTGAAAACAAATAACATGTAGACATCCCTTAAAAGGTGGGAAGGTTGTGGAACAACCTATGGCACGTATGTAATTTAATAAATATATATTAAAATTCAAACGTGTTTTTGAAGTCTTCTTAGAAATTGGCACGAACTTTCCGGGCAACCTAATACTTGTTTATCATTTATCAGCTCATTGATTTTTCTGGCATTGAAAATTTGCACACTAGGTGACAAAAGGCTGCTGACAATGAGGGCGATTATATAATGAATTAAAGATAGAAATTTATTGGAAAGTTTGAATTCAATGTAAAAGAAACCTTTTACCTTTCGTTCTACCTAATACAATGTAATAACAATGACAACAAGAAAAACAAAACAAAAATAGAGACGATCACAATATCTTATAATGTAACGTGTTCAAACTAGATTGCACATTCGCAAAATTGCAACGACTGATTTTTTAAATGTCAAAGGTGAGTCACGAAAAAAATCAACATACATATCAAGGCTGTTAGCCATCGCACATATTCTTGCAACACAATTTTGTTTCACAATTGAGGTACGATATGGATCAGTGTAAAAAATATCGTTGCTTGGAAGTTGCCTACTCGGAATATTAAATTTCAATAGTTCCAGTATCCTGGGACATTCAATTTTTCTATTGACAATTTTAAAAACTAACATGAGGTCGACTACCATTCGGCGCTGCCTAAGCGTGATTTGCATAGTGCAAAGTATATTGTCATAGTCGTGATATACTATATCCACGAAGACTGTATAAGGAGATCCAACTCCATATGAAAGTTACTAGAAAACTGTTATTAAAATCCCGAGCTTTAAGTTAAGAATATTTCGTCCACTCGCGGCCCACGTGAGCACAGACTACGATATATATATGTCATATGATAATACATACACATATGATACATACACACATATATATATCGTAGTTTGTGCGCACTTGCGCCGCGAGTGGACGAAATATTCATAACTTAAAGCTTAGGATTTTGATAACACTTCTACACTACACAGTTAGAACTTCTTATACAGTCTTCATGACTATATCCATAGGTGTACCTATCTTGTAAGAAACGTGCCTTAAGAATTTATGCTGAACACTCTCAATCATTTTCGTAAGGCCACTTTGTAATGGATTCCAGATCTGAGATGCGTATTCAAGATGCGGTAGAACTAATGAGGAGTATAGAATTTTAAAGGTCTGAGGGTGTTTGAAATCTGCGGATTGTCGTAAGATGAAGCCCAGAGCTTCAATCGTCGATAATCGCGGAGATCGTACCTCGCTGATGGGAACTTGTCGGCTGTCTTCGTGATAGTAGTTGATTCTGATCAATTTCAAGTTGAGAAGCAACGCTGCGTAGGTAGCCAAGTAGATGCCATCGGCGTTCATAATCGTGATCAACGCGCAAGAATCCGTGCTGATGTCCGTCTGTTCCTGCATCTTCTGCTGGGCTGCGAAGACACCTGCGAACGGTGTTTCGTTACGCGAAATCTTTTTCGGTACCTATCGCTCGCGAACCGGTCTCGTACCTTGACAATACTCAGATGCAAAGTTCTGCAACGCCTCGTCGACTTCTATGTTGCTCCTAAGACTCAATACCATGGGGATTAGATCGGTTTTCAGAGTCCTAACGAATTTTCTAGCGTTGTGTCTCTCCACGTCCACGTTGCACTCGTCGGCTACCTGACGACCCACGTGAAGACACTTTGGGAGTTTCTCCAATCGTAGCCTCTCCCTCTCGTTCTCCATCGCGTAATCGTTATCTTCCAAGCTGTTCTCCTCTTGAGCTTCGTCGGACTCGTTTTGAGGACCCTCGGTGTCCGTCGAGTCGCCATCTTCCGATGGTCCGTGGCCCGAGGAGTCCGAGTCCGAACTTACTATTCCTTTCCTCATCAGCTCCAATTGCTCTCTAAAATTTAAAAAATGGAAAAGTCTTATGTATTTTGAACGGCAAATTATTAACGAGGCGTACATTTATCCGTTAAACGACAACATTTTTTGTGTTTAATCGCAATCGCGTGTCTTTTGATTCAAAATTAAATATCGGATATACAGTGAAGACTGGATAAGTGCAAGAAAATCGGGACTCAAACATTGCAGTTATCCAGTCGAGGTTTCTATTCTGTGTTTACATTTGGCTCGAGTTGAGTGTTGAATGTAGAAAAAGAGAGTGAAAGAGAAAGAGATCCGAGGAAAAAAAGCAGTCGGCAGAATAGTATGTATCTCGGTTAGGATCATATTACACTGTAAAAGGAAACAATCCAGTGGCGGGGATAGTCATCTTTCATTTATCCAGTCTTTACTGTATTTCTAAAGGAATCTTATCGATACGTAGTGATGCGCACGAGACGAGATAGATCTCGATCTCGTCTCGGTTTCGAGATGTGATTCGAGATCGAGATTACTTGTAACATTCAAGATCGATATCGAGAATCAGCTTATCGAGATTTAGATGAGATGAAGATTATTTCAAATTCTCGCCGATTCATATTATATTGCCGATCACCAACACATATGATGCCGTGACTGCTGCGCTAACAAACGATGCCAATTTTGTTAATATTATAAACCGCTTCTGCTTTGAGAGCTAGTTCTGACTGGCACACAGTGTGATATTTCAGCGATCTAGCGGAACAAAACTTACGTGGTCCAATATTTCGGAAACTATTAAGTCGTCCACACACGAAGCTACTCAAAAGAAATGCAATTGGGTGGTGATTGCAATCACAAACTAGTTACTTATTGATTAGTAATGATTTTGAATATTTTTAGAAAAAGCATCTACCGCTGTCCGCGCGGTGTAATATTATAGCAAGGTCATATTCCCGATCATTGCTTGAGCAAAAATTGTTAATAATTAATGTAACTATTGTCAGAAATGAATTTTTAGTTATTTCAGCTAACAGATATAACGATATAGAAAAATTTCTCACGTTACTGTGTTTGATGAATATTTATTCTGAACCGTGATTGCACCAACTAAATATTAATATCTGACAGTAGTTAAATTAATTATTAACAATATTTATTATTTAAAGAATGATGGGAAATATGATTATGCTGTTGTATTAATGTTTCGTAAATTCTTTTGTGGATGGATCCAACGAGCCTTTGAATCGACATGTCACGTCATGTCACGCGGTTGTTGTTTGGCAAACAATGTTTGTTCTTCCCCTTCTCTACTTCGAGGGGCACAAATGAGCCACGACCCCTCGACCGACACAGGTACACGAGGGGTGAGAACTCATTCGTCGTTGATCTTTCGTTCGATATGGATCTCGCGATCGCGCGTCCCTCCTATTTGTAGTTTTCCTTGGTATCTTAGTTTGGTTTGGTTAGTTTTAAGGTTGCGTGTACGAGTGTCTTCTCTGCCAAATAATTATTAATCAACTTGTTTTGTTTGTTCGTAAGTCCATATTGGGCTCGTAACATCGTGCTCCACTTCGGTCACTATTGCTTCATGTGATAAGTGTAGTGACCAACCATATGACTGGCCGAGATCGGTTGCCGTCCTCTAGTGGGTTTGATTTGAGAGAGGGTCAATCGACGCCTCCGAGGAATCTTCTCCTCTCTGTACGCGTCAGGCCAAGTCCAGGCTCCCGGCGCAGCGCAGTTCAAAAGAGCCGTAAGACGGTGCAAGTCGTGTCCTGGACTCCTGACGTTGTGCAGAGAGTAGAACTCCGTTTCGGACCCTACGACCGTCAGACATAGCTGGTGTCGCCAGGGCAGGACAACCCGACGCGGTGCTACCTACGTCGTACACTGTCAGGTCGGGACCTGGGCCCTCGGCAGCAGGTATGCAGGGAGTAGAGTACTGGCGGAGACGTTGATCGTCTTTCTCTCGAATCAGACCCACCAGAGGAAACGGGACTGACTCTGTAAGTCCAGTTTCATGGTCGCGTCGTGTCGCGATTTAGCTTCACTTCTCTTAGTTCAAATAATTATATGGCAGAGTCAGAATTGGACTTTGGAAATCAAAGGGACTTTGTTTTCTTTGATTTCCACGGTTTCGTACTTAGTATTAAGCTCGTCGACTCTATGTAAAGTATGCATCTACGTATGTATACTGTATGTAGAGGGAGATCGAAGAAAGTTTGATTCCTTCTATCTCCGGGTCTCCAGTCGCAGCAACCTCCACGTGGTGAGACCTGGTAATTGATATTATTCGTGACGAACAATCCTTCGTCGCGAATAATATCAAGAGCTAATGGCTGCGAACTTGTAATAAGATCTTTAGATATAAAAAGTGCAAAGTGTAAAGTTCACAAGTGAGAAGTGCAAAAGTGTAAAGTGTAAAGTGCAAAGCGCAAAAGTGTAAAGTGTAAAATGTAAAGTGAGATTAGATTTAGATTAGCAGGAATATAATTAGTTTTCAGAAAAATTCATTTCTATAAATTACGTATTAACATTAACATATTTTTATTGCAAAATGGTAGTCAATTTTCACGACAATTTGTGTATTAAAACTACAGATCAAACTACAACATACGTATTGTCTGAAATTTGGTTTTCTTCCATTATAAAATTATCCTATTTGCAATGTTCTTACATTCTGTGCAAAATGTAATCCTTAAACCCGTGTAATCTAAGAACTGGAAAACTTTTATATCGTTCCTAATAACACAACAAATATTGGCATATTTTGAACTGCATTGCCAATCTTATCAAAATCTCGTCGAGATCGAGATCATATATTTTAAATTGTCGAAAATTCGAGATCGAGATCATCGATAGAAATCTCGTCTCGTCTCGTTTCGTCTCGTGCGCGTCACTATCAATACGTATTCTTCTCTCTAGCCTTCTTTCCAACTTTGGGACTATATCGAAGCTTACCTGTAAGTTTTTGGTAACCTTGCCATGCTTTGGTAAGTGAGAGGGCCCCGGTAGTCGCAGGATTCCAGATCCTCATAGAGACTATTGATCGTGCACGTGTAAGTATGATTAATGGCCTTTCCTTCGCACAGCTCCTGAAGCGCCGAAAGCATGGCGACCACGCACGAAACGCTCGCGTGCAATATACTCAAGCCGCCATTCGTCGATTCCTCGATCGAGTCCATCGCCCTATTACAAAACGGATATCGTCGTGATCTTGTCCGCTTCTAAATTCTACAAGATTACCCAACCAAAACGATCGCTTACAGCCTCATCAACGCCATGTCGCTTTGAATATGACTGCATCTGTCTTCCTCCACTAGCAACGGGCCGGCAAAGTCGACCATTCGACTAGGACTACGCAGAAGCTCTTTAAGGGCCTTCAAAGATTCTAAACGTTGCTGAGGAAGAGGGTACAGCAACATTCTATGGAACACGGACTCCAAAACTGGTCGGAGAGGACCCACGCAGCCTACCAATCGCACCAGTTCTGTTCCAATACTGTGGACGCAAATAATTCGGTCATTAAACATTCTTGTGCAATCCGAGATGATATTTTTATTCGCGATATGGAGCTGCGATAATCGTTTACTTTGACAACGTGCCTGTAGACAGTTTTCGCCTGGTGGCTGTCGAAGCTCAAAGACGCGGCCAGATAACCGGAGCCTCTTCCCACCTCGTTCTCCTTTCCCTCCCTGGAGACAAATGTCTTGTCTACTCTCGGCGTGCCCAAAAAAGCGATCAACGCGGGACAGAACTTTTGCCAGAGGAAGGTGGTGAAGTGCGCGTTCGTGTGGATCTTCTGCGGCAAGGACGAGATCAACGTGTGCAGACACTCCAACAAAAACACCACGGTGTTGCCATTTCTGCTGTTGCTAGAACAGGATTTCCTAAAGTCGGGCAGTGCAGGAGTTGGACAAAATAAATTTCATTCCCTCTTACTTTTGAGCCTCGTCCAATTTGCTGCAGATGTACTGCAGTATCGGTAGAGCCTCGTTGAAACAAGAAACTCCTCTTTCCCAAACGTTCTTATTCTTCTTCGCGTTCTCGTCCATTTCTTGGCATTCCTCGTCTATCGAAACAAACATAGTTTGCCGCGTGCATAGTTCGATCGTTCGATGGTTCGTTTAATTGCAATTTCGCGTGGAAATCCGACAAGTTTTCTCGGAGGAAGACCGACAGAAGATCACGGAATTCGCAAACCGCATACCTCCATGCATGCGGTCACGCGAAAGCGAAGCTTATCGATCAAACTTTTGTTTGATTCCACGACAGGTAAGACACCTCTGCGTACTTCATAAATATGAATATGAATAAATTCACATGTTTATTCATAAATAGCGCGTTGTTCACATTTTGTATTTATAATTGTAATTCTATCAGAGACTTAATTCTTTATTGAAAAAATGGTCGGCTAGTAGAAGCTTCACGAGTTTAGAGATTTTAGGAAGAAATATGATCAGAGATGGGGGTGTTCGTTTTCATAAATATGAATATGAATAAATTCACATCACGCGGATGTGTGAATATGAATATGAATATGAATAAATTTATGAATAAAAATGTGAATAACGCGTTATTCATTAAATAACGTTAATTACTTACTAACATTGTTTACTACCCCACACAGAAACTTTTTCACTCCAACGAAATGAGTAATTACAAAAATTATTTGATTTATGAAAATAAAACAATCATCGTTGTTACTATTACGAAAAACATTATAGTTGTGTTAATAAACACGTATACGAAACTCTGGAATATGTATAAGCACCTTGGATAATGAATTAATAACATACTTTCATTAACGCCTCTTGGTTATAAGAATACTGAAAAATAATGATACAGGGAGAAAAAAATTAATTTCCAGACTTGGACAAAAGTAAGTACAAAAATTAAGTAAGTATTCTTCAACTTCCCCATCGCCTAAGTTTCCCACAAAGCTTGTCGGTATCCTGAGAAACATGACAACATGTGATATACGGTGGCTACTGGTCGACAAAGCGAATTGTAAACCTCTCTTAAGCAAGCAGAATCAAATCAGCAGAATCATATCCGACTTTGTGGAATATTTAGTAATTATTTTGTACTAATTTGTACCACAAACAATAATTTGGTCCTGCCAGCTTAAGAGAGTGTGTCATTAATTTATTATCCAAGGTGCTTATACATATTCCAGAGTTTCGTATACGTGTTTATTAACACAACTACAATGTGAATAACGCGTTATTCACATTTTTATTCATAAATTTATTCATATTCATATTCACAAATCCGCGTGATGTGAATTTATTCATAATCATATTTATGAATATGAATACTCCCATCTCTGGATTCGTGACACTGATACGAACGCGTATTCAGTATTCAGACGCCAATCGTATCAGGACACAGATTCTTGGACCAACTCGTCCATGTCGCTTTGACGAATATCGATTAGAAATGTATTTTCTTCTCGTTTACCTAAGAAAAGACAGAAGGATCGCAACGTCTGACTTGTCGCAGCCTGGGCGGCGGTTCTCACCGCTTGATTTCCGTTTTCGAAAGCCTCGCAGCAGGTAGTGAGTATGGCAATTATCAATCGGCCGTTCATCGTCCAGTACGAAGAACAGGCGACTTGTAGCAGAACCTGCGAACAATTAAAAACGTGACGAATAAGATCGCATGTAGACACAAGACTTGCATGTAAATACAACGTTGTAAATAATTGTAAACTCGAGCATACAATAGTTTCAGGAAATTCTCGTAATGTTCGAACAAAAACTGAATAAACCGTTCACGTGTCTTTCATAACGTAACGCGAAGCAAAGGCGAGGGAACAATGAATACAAAGTTCTCACAAACTATTAATTTTACTTGAAATTTGTCTTCGAGTTCCCGCATATCCATTTCCCCGAATCGATTATTCGCTGTTTTTTTTTTGTCATGCAACTCGGTTGTGCTGAGATACTAACCCTTTGCACTCGAGGCCTTTTTTGTGGTATCTAGCACCAACTCGAAATGTTTTCTTAACATTCTATTGCCACGAATGCTAAGATTGTATTGACTTCGAAGATGAGATTTGAAAATCAGACCACCTTTACCTCTTCGACAATTATTTTATCGACACTTCGAGTTCTAATGAAATTAAACGTAAAGAAAAGAAATGAAAGAAAACCTAGTGGTGACTGAGAGTCACCTCTCGAGTGCAAAGGGCTAGTAATAATACTCTACCGTTTATTATGTAAATGTAGTAAAAAGTACTAAACGATACTCGATACTAATTGAAATTCTAGATAGTCAACACAGAATATAAGGAAAAAAAATCGAAGAATAAAATGATTAAACAGTATCGATTTTTAAACTTGTTGGTTATAAATAACAGTTATTAGTGTCCAATAGTTATTCGATTGCTCAAAGTTACGAATAGCAACCGAATTTATAATAAATGTTCATGGTTTTATCGGTTTTCGGTATATAAATAATTGGGACACACGTTCATAGCAAAAATAAAACCAAATCTTTCGATCGTGAATAGCTTTGCGTTGCTTGTTCTTCTTGCTCGTTTGTTCTTTAGAATCAATAGCGAATAGCTCTGTCTTTTTATCGATAACGAACTTGATACGAGTTTCGACTTACTTTCAACATATCCGTCTGTGTGTCGTCCGATTGAGAGAGTATGGATCCCATGGCGTGCAACATTTGCGCCGGTAACCAGAGCGAATCGTCCTCTGGCTCGTAGGGCGATTGAAACCTGTCGTCCCTCAACATTCTCTGAATTCAGAATATCTACTTTAAAACGCTAGGTTGACTTTATGCCGAGATGATTTCGGGTTTACCGCACATGCATTCCAGAAATAAGTAACCAATCTATAGAAGGGCATTTTACTCAAATTTCGCTACAATTTTATTCATACGATAAATAAGAAATCGAAACTTGACACAACGATTTATTCGTATTGTATATTCGATTGAACGGTTATATGGGTAACTTCTTGTTCGTTCAACTTAAAAAGCTACGAAAAAAGACATTTTCTCCCACAATTCCTCTCCTTTTTGTATATTATATTAATTAAATTGTAGTCGATGGTAATTGCTTGTATATTGTTACCAAAGAAGGTCCAGAGCGAGACTCGAAACGTGTGATGTTTGATAGTGTTAAACAATTGTTTCTATTGCTCATTCGTTTATTTATTTCTGGAGCACCCTGTACACCCTAGAGCAGAATTTTTCATCCGACGTTATCCTAAAGAAGACGACACTGATTTTAGATATATCTTTAGCAGGAGATATACATAAATATATAGTAAGCTTTAGAAGTATTCGTACAGCAATCATTTAAAAATAGAAACTATTAAGAAAAGAAATAAGAGGTTAACATTAAAAGTAATAAATAGGGACCAAAAATAACAGTTATTCTAAAATTTTCAACGATAAAAATCATTAATACAAAATTGATTATTATTGAAATTCAAGATAGTCAACATAGAATATAAGGAAAAAAAATCGAAGAATAAAATGATTAAAAAATATCGATTTCTAAACTTTTTGGTTACAAATAACAGTTATTAGTGTCCAATACTTTTTCGATTGCTCAAAGCAGTTATCTATGAAAGAAATTCATTTTGATTACTCGTAACAATTATCAATTAGAGAAGTTCATTTTAATTGGTCATAACAGTTATCGATGACAGAAATTTATTTCGATCGCTCATAACAGTGATCAATGAGAGAAGTTCATTTCGATTGCTCTTCGATGAACGAGCGGAATGAACTTCTCTCATTAGTAACTATTATGAGCGATCGAAATAAATTTACCTCAACGATAACATTTACCAACAAGAGAACAAATTTTCTGTCACTTATAATCCTAATTTGTAACCAATACGATTTTAGTCGATCAAATACTTGTTATACCACGATTCTTTTTCTTTTTACTTATAACACTCATGGTCCGTGGTAATAAACTTTAATTTACGCAAAATCTACTCTAAAAATATGTAGAAATATTGGTTAATTATTTCTTCCCCAAAAATTGATGAATAAAATCAATACATGAAGTTTTATTTTAAATTGGTTCCTGTGCGAATACTTATTACACTGACTGTATTTCTTTTAAAGTATTAAAAGGATTCTCTTTTCAAAAAATTGTAACAGTTTTATGCAGCGTAATACGATTGCATGATAAGACACGAGTTGTTCCAAAAATTAACTTTTCGTTTCTCCTCGGAGCTTCTAATAATTTCATGGGGAGAAGTTTAATTATTTGAATGTCTAGGCCGAGCGAAGAGGACAACGCAGAGCACAAGAAACACTTCGAGCATTGTTTCGCGTGTGACAGCTGTTCGTCGATATCTTTCGCGTTATCGAGTTCCTTCCCGCGGGTTCGGCCGGATGTGTCCTTTACGCGTAAGCGATATGAACGGAGCCAGTAGGGAAAAATGAATTCCATTACGAACGTGCAATCCTGACAGACCGAATGCGACGAATTTGCTCCTCCTCGTCTCTAGTGCTAGCTGAAAGGTGTGAAGACATTTTGCTCGCAGCTCGTGGGGTGGATCGCGTAACAGTCCTTGCTGCTTGTCCAGGAAGTCTGCACAAAAAATACCGAATTTTTCTGCTACGAATTCTCACGCTACGATTCATTCGGAATTAACGATTAAAGAGATCGCGCGTTACCACTTTCGCTGCGGACGAATATAAGTAGCTAGGGAGCTACTTTGCTGGGAGCTGCAATTATGATATTTTTTTTAGTGAAAAATGAAAAGTGAAAACAGCTATGTATTTTCAGTTGGACGCACATGTACGTCATCCGCAGCGAAAGTGTTAAGCCAAATGGAATGACAAGTGTTCGAAGTAAATAACAACTCCGTATCTCTAAAAAATGATTTAACGAAACAGTGACGATGCGAGGGTCACATCGCGCACATAGACAAGGTTGGAGAGAAACGTGTACGCGGTTCCACCTGGCAACGAGGTGAGTCGGTTTCGAATGATTTTACGTGATCGACTCACCGTACGCTTCCTGTGCTGATTTCCGTAGATTTTGTAACTTCGCATTGCTCGACTCCCGGACGATCTGCAGCAGAAGATCCTCCATGTCACGGTGGACTAACACGGGACTGATCGATAGCGGGAGTGCCAATGCCAATGCACGCTTGGCTATACGCGCGCATCCAGGGCCGTAGGATAGGAACACCCTACGTTCAAAGAAATTCATTTCCTTACTCGAAACGCTCGAAACGACATTTTTACCACTTATCGTTAGAAAGGAACAAATTTAAAGACAATTCGGTTAACTGTTTGCGGCACAGGAATTCAGGTCATAAAATAGACCCATGTTGTACAGGAATTTTATTGCGTTTTAAATCAAACAAAATTGTTATATTTTTATTAATAAAGGTATCACACCTATACACATGCAGCTGTTGCAAAATTTCGAGGTGGGATTAAAAATGTCCCATCATGCATTACGGTCCATCAAAAAGGTGGGACACTTTTAATCCCACCGTGTCCCAAAGAGTTAACATGGATCGGAGGAAAAAGTTAAGCACACAAGGAAAGGCATGCCGATAATTGCAAATTAGTTGGAAACGTAAGACACGAAACAGATTTCCATGGGTAAATACAGTGGGTGTAGAATGTATTCGTATACCGATCAATTAACAAAAAAACTTTTGTGTGAAATTGTAGTTTTTTAACTTTTTTTTTTTACAATCAATGATATTTTACATATTCTCGGAAATCTCTAAGATAGATACAGTCCGAACAACATTTACTAGTTAATATGATTTGTGAAATTAACAAAAAAAAAATGCGAAAAGTGGGTAAAAGTATAGGAGCAATAAGTATTTGTACGATTCTTATGACTAGACTGCGGATCCTTATGCATTAATAGAAAATTTGAATGTGAAAGAAATTACAAAATGCAAACAATATGAAAGAATATAAAAAAGATGGAAAGTAAAGTTCAGGTTGTAATATTTGCAGAATAAAATAAATTCCTATTTAGTTTCAATTCTTGTAGATACGTTCGCGAAGATTTTAGTTTGCATAAAGATCCGCAGTCTACTTGTGACGAATCATTTACAGTAGAGTTTGTAACGTAAACACATTAGTTTATTGGTCCGTAGGAATTAGAAAACATCAAATTTCCGGTAAAGTACTTTTAAAAAAGGCTCTAATAGAAGAATGGAAGAAGATTCCACTTCTAATTAATTTCTAACTAATAATTTAGTTAATTTAATGCTTAGAAGAGTTGCAATAATTATAAAATCAAAAGGAAATCCCATGAAGGAAGTATTATACAGGTACTTATTAATTAATGTAAATTTCTTTTCTTTTAATGAAGTTTTAAAAATTAAACAGTTGTGCGTACACTTACTTAAACATTTCTATCGATTAATTGTTTTTTTCTTATTAATTTCGCAACTTATATAAATAGCTATCTTTTTTTGTACTCTATCTATTCCAGAGATTTCCGAGAAATATGTAGAATCTAATTGTTTATAAAAATGAAGTTAATAAATTACAATTTTACATAGTTTTTTTGGAAATTGATCGGTATACGAATACTTTCTGCACCCACTGTACTTTACGATTAATAAAAATAACCAGAGACGGTTTTTTCTTGTAAACAGAGAAAACGGTTACTTGACTACATACTTAATTTTATATTTTAAGGTTTCTTTACGACATTTCTTACAACGTTCAATATTCAACGTTCGTATATTCCGGACAAATAAAAAGCCAGAAGATGTAACTATATTGTTATTCATCGACGACGTTTGATCGATATCTAGTTAGATCTTGATAAAAATATACAATTCAAAGATAAAGTTTCGTTAAATTTCATTTAACCGTTTGGATGCAATTCTAATCACAGGCGTGTGCATAAATACATGTACATACATTCTTTTTAACAGTTCGAATATACTCAGGTAGGTTTAAAACATATTCTTCAAATTTATCCCGATTATAATATTTTCTCTACTAGAAAAAGGAAACATATCCTATAAAGTATTTGCGATTCTTTTTATTCGTTTTATTTCGATCGATGATCTTACTTAGATACTGTCCCTTTTCCACTTAAAATTATAGTTGTTTGTTTGGTTATAATTCATCTGAATTCTACGACCATTGGTTTGTTTTTAGATTTCGTTTCTAACACTCCAAAGATGATCTCAAACTAGAAAATGAAAACGTTAGGGTTTGTTTTTAAAAGTTCTTACTTTGTTCAGATGGAAATGTTTTCCGAGTTAGAGCGCAAGTTTTTAGAAATAAATTAAAATACTTCATGTCGAATAAGCTTTCGGTACTTATGTGTATAAATACTTTCTTTAGTTATTTTATTGCTTTTTCTGGAGACTATCTCCAGAATTTACAGTCCTCACATTATGTTCTTTTTGGCAGTTGATTTTGAGGCTGGGCAGAACAGCGTGCGAAAAACTTCGCGCCGCACGTAATTGGCTGCATTCAAAAATACCACCGCTCACTAAGCCGCTCTATGAGCTATACTGATACCGGTTTTAATACTAGTGGCGACATCGGTGGGAAAAAGCCCAAGTTTGTAGTGAAAATAGTTCTCACTGTTTTTTATAGATGGCATCACTAACTAAAAAGTCGATCATTATTGCTGCATTTACATATATGAAAGCAGATAAATGTTTAAATGAAATATTAAACTAATATATTGTAGTGTTATGAAGCAAAGAATCGTATTAACAATGCATTTATGATAAATAAAGAATAATTGATTAAAACGTATCGGTGGCGTCATTTAGTAGCAACAGTGGAAACTATTTTCATTATAAACTTGGGCATTTTTCCACGGATGGCGCCACTGATATTAAAACCCGCTCACAGAGCGGCTCAATGAGGGCTGATCATTCTCTGGATGCGCCTATTGAAATCGAAAATTGAAACTAGTAGTTTTCCGAAAATGGCGCCGGAAAGTGACAGAAAGCGTAGAGGTGCGGACAAAGCGCACCGTGGAAACCTCAATATGTATAAAATCGCAGTGAATCTCATTGGTACGAGCCTCTCCGCGAAGAAAGTAGACATGGACTCGCGAATTAGTTATGGGATTCGTCAAAATTCTTTCGTTTTTTTTTATAACAGGTGTGGCTTTCGGGTTTTTCCATCGGTGGCATGTGTCTACACTATTCGAAAATGACCGGCATTTCTCACATTTGTCCGAAATCGAGAGGGAAATGTCCTTTCGCACGGAAATGGTACGAGCCAGCTATCCAATTTTAAATACCGACGTATTTTTTTTATGGATGACAGGTATGATATGTTTTGTTTTCGCTTCAGGGAATGTATTACTCGTACTACAAAACAATCGCGGAATCGAAAACGTACACAGAGGGTTTAAGCAAAATTATCAACGATGACATTTCGGAACATGGAAATGTTATCAATGCCGGTCAGAAGTATAAGTTGCTGCCAGAGGTATTGTACCCAAATTTATGGATTTAGATTGGTTAGCTCAGTGTTTAGTAGAAGGTTCGGTAATTACTTGCAGTCATGATTATCACACCAATTTCAATTACTGTGAATAAGTTGTATGGGAATGTTTTCCATAATGAAAACAAATTACTTGCTCTTAGTTTCTAAGTTTCTAAGTTTTTGATAGGATACAGAGTTCAATGGGTTATTTATACTTGCTCAACCTTTGCATTTCTTCAGAGAAACTGACCAGTAAACAACTCACTTCATCTGAACAAAGTCACTTAATATGTCACAATTGCTGGTGTCATAGGTTACTAAACACTGATATATCCAATTTCTTTTCCTCTATTTTAATTTTATGTAATGCAAATGCATCTTTGGTTACTGAAACAAAACAAATGTGACTTTACTTAAGGATAACAAGAATAACAATGTTTCCTTAAATAAAATTACATTTGCCTTACTCTAGCGGTACATTTCTTGGTAAACATTTACAGCATAGCTGTAGTACTTAAGAATCACTGACTAATTTACAAGAACAAAAAGAATAAAAAAATTAATGATTTACAGTTGGCAGCTGGATGGCTTTACCACTATGCTAAAAATCTAGGAATCATATCGATAGACCAGTGTTGGCAAGTGAGACTTATTTCTTTCAGATTTGTATATAGTCGATGTTACAAACATAGAAATTGTATTAAATTAGTCTTGAGAGGACTCTAGAAGCTGTAAACTGTCAACATTGCATATAAGACTATTTACAAATGGACTTTGTATAATTAAAGAAAATAGTCCGAATGACATCCTCTGGGGGATAACTAAAAAGAAATGTCTTTTAGGTAGAAAGAGGAGACGGTGTGCCACCGGTAACCAGCTGTGAAGGCCTAGGTGTTCCTATTTATTTTTATTTGGAGATTGTTTGGTTTTGTACTATATTCACTGTAGCTATACTGTTTTATTACTCCGTGTACTTGGGTAACAGTGTGAGCAGTGGAATTATCACGGTACTGCTGTTCTTTTACAATCATAACGAATGCACACGTGTTCAGTGGACACCACCGCTGCGAGAGAGTTTTGCATACCCAGCGATACTTTCTCAGATGTATATGCTAACTGTGATTCTTAAAGAAGATACTCGGCAAAGCTGTGAAAAAGTGCCTCTGGAATTAATTTTGGTACGTCGAGTCTTTGATGGAGTCATTTGATACAAAATAAAAGTCTTTTAAGTTTAATTACATATAATTCTATTTTTTAGAAAACTGGTATGTCAACAATAATTAGTTTATGCTGTTGGCAGTTTACCCATTTTGTGTTCACGACACAAATCATTGCGTTACTTATTCTTAGATGGATGAGGATAATCTCAAATGATCTCTATACGTACATTTGTGCAATTCATGTTTCGTCCATAATGTTAGTAATGGCCGTGTCGGATGACCGGACTATATTTTTTTCTATGTACTTTTGTCTTGCGTTTACAAGTTTCATTTTAAGTCTGTTCTACAAACTATCTTTCCTTATGGGTAGAAAATTGCAAACAGGCCTCGAAGTTGTACTTATATTTGTTTGTACGAAATTATATAAATCTTTGAAATGCGTGTCTGAACACGATGAGCACGTGTTCAATATACTCAAAGCGAAATTGAGCAATTACAAGGACTTTCACACGATGCTGTATACATGCTCGGCCGAGTTTGATTTCTTACAGTACAGAAGTTACGAAGCAATCATAAAGACTCTGCTTTTACCATCTGCTATACTCGCTGGAACATTAGTACTGTATTTTTGGTACAGAAATTATAAAATTAAAGGGTACCCCAAGTGTATAGATGCAGATCTAGCCTACAACGGCCTACAAACCGGCGCTTTTATCCTTATGGCAGTTTTCATTATGAGACTAAAATTATTCATGAACCCTCATCTCTGCATAATAGCGGGCATGGTCTGTTCGAGCAAGTATTTGGAGAAACTTGGACTGAAGAGTAATACGACGAAGACTGCCGTTACCATTCTGTTAATATCCGCGATGTCCTATCATGGTTTAGAGAGACTTAAGGAAGAACGAAATATCATAGGTAACTATGCCGGGATTGCAAAGGACTACAACTTCCTTATATATTATTCTTTCTAAATATCTGTACTCTCGTTATTTTGTTTATTTGTCCTACTTTATAGGCGAATATAGCAATATCGAGCAAGAAGAGTTGTTTGATTGGATAAAGAATTATACTCCCGAACACGCGGTGTTCGCCGGAAAAATGTCTTTAATGGCGAATTTAATGCTCTCTACGGGAAGACCTATCGTCAATAATCCTTACTATGAAAGCAAAGAAATGAGGTAGACTGCTTGGTTTTAAGGCCCCGTCGTCCTCGGATTTGTCATTTCAATACTATTCGTTTGTTCTACGTTTCAGAGATCGAACGATGAAAGTCTACGAAGTCTTCAGTAGGAAAGACGTGGCTTCCGTATACTTTACTCTGAAGAACATGGACGTCGATTATGTCATACTGGAAGAGCCCCTGTGCTTTGGTTTCGCGAACTTGTAATATATAATAATTTCAGACATTCGCTGAATTAATCATGAAAATTGTATGTTCGTACATTAAAGAATCTTTCCTGCTTCAGGCCAGTTGGGTGTCAAATGATTGATCTATGGGACGTCGTTGACAACGGAACTGCAAAGGCTGCAGGAAAACCACCTCTCTGCCCAATACTCTTTCGAGAGAATTGTTACCCGTTCAAAAGAGCTTTCGTAAATGGTCGATACGTCGTTTTGCAACTCAATTATTCTCATTACGTCGAATTAAAACCAAAGATTCCCGCGTATCCTGTTCATTCAATGCATTCCGAGATGTTTTAAAGCGTGATATATGTCCTGTAAATTTTCGAGTATTGTAATATAGACTGTATATTCTTTGAACTTTGTGGTATTGTAACGTATGGTGTGCGTTCTGTATATTTTAACCCTTTACACCAAGGACGCTTCGATGAAGAGCATAGCGTACACCACGACTGTCGGAGGGCAAAGGGTTAAAATATATGTTCTAATGTATAATATACTTATATATGCCATTTAACTGAATGGAGCAAGTGGTTAGTTATATGCGTTCTTATTTTATTCTCAAAGTGAAATGAAATATACTTAATAAATATAAGTTCACTTCGTAGCCTGATAATGTATGTATGAAGAAGTTTTTTTTTGTTTACTTAAGATATTTTAGTCTTATTAAAGACCTATTATGCCAAATTATTGTACAAAAATAAAGTTGTATATTTCTATGTATATATTGCATCTCGAAATATAGTTTATGTAAATATCAATCTTTCCAAATTTACTATAACTTCGTATCACGTATGCATAGTAAACTGTCTGGCGGATTTTGCACTTGGGTATCAGGAGCACATAATATGCAAAGAGGTGCACGGTTGCGCCTACGTGCAGGCACCCGGCTCGACTTACCTGTTAATATGGGTTGCCTAATTCTAGGGGCTAATTTTC